CAATTATTATTTTATACATGAATGTTTCTGTTCAATTATTATTTTATTGATGAATGTTTCTGTTCAGTGTCTGAGATGATTCTGTTGCGACTTGGAGCTGAAGAAATAAACTGGATTTTCTCCTTTGTCACATAAAAACATGTAGACAAATGCACGGCTTTTCAGTGAAAAACGTGAAAACATAAATGTGTAAACCGAAAAGTTCTGTACCTTTTTGTTACTTTCATTTTGTACCTTTGAACCGTTGCCTCTGGGGGGTGTGGCCTCTGTCATCCCCGCCTCGTCGGCGCCATCGTCGACGCCTTCTCTTTGACCCAGGCTGAGCGCTGCGAGCAGGGAGCGCAGCTGAGGCACTGTGATGGTACTGTTGTCCCCATAGCGGGCCAGCAGGTCCTGCAGCACCTGGGCAGGTGATGGATCTCCTCCTTGAGCTGCAGCCTGAGCGCCTAGGCTGAGGAGCACCACGAGGAGGAGCACGGGCTGGCTGCAGAGCAGGGTGAAGGTCATCGTGGCCCAGCCATGACGGGACCGGCAGAGCATGACTCCTTCAGAGGACCACGGATGCTTCTGTCCACAGAAAGAGAATAAATGAAGAAACTCTTACACGTTACATCAATGTTTATTGAAGCAAAAGAGCCAAAAACAACATTTAGGTTAGCCTAAAGAGACGGCTGCTGTAAGTCAGCAACACGAGTTACAGCCAGGTACTTACACAGTGCATACACGGTGCATACACGGTGCATACACGGTGCATGCACGGTGCATACACGGTGCATGCACGGTGCATGCACGGTGCATACACGGTGCATGCACGGTGCATACACGGTGCATACACGGTGCATGCTCGGTGCATACACGGTGCATACACGGTGCATGCACTGTGCATGCACGGTGCATACACGGTGCATGCAGGATACAAGGATTTTTATTGTCACTTCACATTTGCATGTGAACTGCACAAAATTCTGACTCAGGTCCCAGATAAAGAAGCCCAACAATCAACAAATAAATAAAAACAAAAGAGTATACATATTTACACATGCACACACACATAAATAAATAAAGTTGGGTTTGTTTTAAGTAAGACGAGGCTGAATTAAGTGCAGCTCGAGTTTAGCACCGACAGCTGCTCTGAATGCTCCTCAGCCTCCTGCTTGAGGGTGGAGGTCTGCCCCCCAGTTGCAGCCTCCCTCTGCCGTGCCACAAGGTGGTGCAGGTGCAGACACTCTCCACCACACACCCACAGCCCCTCAGGACAGAGCCCTCGCAGCTCCCAAGTCCAGCTCTCCACAGCTCCTTCTTCACGACCAGAGTCCTCCCCCCGTTTTCATCCCGACCGATAGTCACGATCCGCTCAGAATAACTGAAGACCGCTGAGGCTGTTGTTGTTCAGCCAGGTTTCCTTCAGGCAAACAACATCACAGTTCTTCATCTCTGTAGAAACTCATCCGCAGATGGAACAAGTCCACTTTGTATCCAGTCAGCGGACATTGGCCAGAAAGAGTAGGAACTGGTGGTTTTTGGAGGATGGAGCTCAACAGTCTATGTCCAAGCAAGTCTGCAGCTCCAGATGGACTGAGCCCTAAACTCCTAAAAGGATGTTCTGCTCAGCTGTGTGATGTTTTCCTTCCCATTTTCCACCTGAGCCTGAGGTCCCTGCTCTGTGGAAAACATCACGACTGGTCCTGGTGCCGAAAAATAACCACCCAAACTCTCAGTGACTACAGACCTGTGGCCGTGACATCACATGTCATGAAGTCACTGGAGAGGCTGGTCCTGAAGCACATCAGATCAGTGATGGAACCATACCTGGACCTCCTCCAGTTTTCAGACCAGCCACACCCTGGAGGTGATGACATCATCTACCTGCTGCACATACACACACCTGGACAGGGCAGGCAGCCTGTCAGAGTCATGTTCTTTAACTTCTCCAGTGCTTTGAACACCATCAGACCTGCTCTGCAGCAGCTCCTGGACATGCAGGTGAAGGACTCGCTGATCACCTGGATCAGAGACGACCTCACAGGTTGACCACAGTATGTGAGGCTGCAGAACACCTCAGACACCACACTGAGTAGCCCAGGGGCTCCTCAGGGCACGGGCCTCTCACCGTTTCTGTTCTTCTACACCTCAGACTTCCGGTCCAACTCTCAATCCTGCATCTGCAGAAGTTCTGGATGACTCTGCCATTGTGGGCTGCGCCACTGGTGACCAGGAAGCTGAACACAGAGGTGTGGTGGACAGAACCAGCTGCAGCTCAACGATGGGAAAACTAAAGAGCTGCAGGTGGACTACAGGAAGATGATCAGCCCCCCCAACCCTATCAACATCAAGAGTACTGAGGTGGACACTGTGGACTGCTATAAGTACCTGATGATGTGTCCATCTCTGCTGACATTTGTGAATTTTAAGGACGCATATTTAATTAGATTCACGATAACTGGTTCCTGCTTTTTGGATTCAGCTGGTGCTGGTTTTATCTACAATCAAGGAAGTCGTCGGCAGCAAATCTGGACCCGATCACGCTGCTTGCCTTTATGATGGTTTGGTTTTGTGTCTCGAGTACCCAGACTCAAATGCTTTGGGCTGAATGGATCAGATCTTGGGGATTTTACTCAGTCATGTTCCACCGGTGTGGCCATGTACTTTGGACATTTCAGAACCGAGTGGACCAACACAGACTCAAGGTTGATGTCATGAAGTTCTGCCTGTCCCCAAAACAACTGTGTGTTTATCTAAGTTTTGGTCGCCTTGGCTGGTCTTGAAGGTCATCTTATCTGAATTCACCTGGAGAACATGTGATCCGATGCTCACCACCCCCTCCCTGAGGAATTTCCAACTGATAACCAGATGCAACCAGCTGAATAAACTTGTGTCATCATTTCAGGACTCTTGGATTCTCATAGACGTTATTCTTGGCAATTTCTCGACATCCCTCAAGAATGTTTATGGATCTCACCGAGGACATTTACTGATTATTACATCCTTATCAGAACTCTTACAGTGACCTCGAGAGCATCTATGAACATTGCGGACTGCTCTCGGCTCCCCCGTCTGCAGATTGTCTACGTAAATATGTGCTTGTTTGTGCGAGGTGTTTTTTTTAATATTATCCTCAGGTAAGTAAAAAAAAAGTCTGATAGTAATTTTTTCGCCTCCAACTCCTACATCCATCCATTCATCCATCCATCCATCCATTTTCTTTACCCGTTTATTCCATTTTGGGTCACGGGGGTCGCTGGTGTCCATGTCCAGCAATCACTGTGCGAGGGGCGGGGGACACCCTGGACGGGTCTCCAGTCCATCACAGGGACACATAGAGACAAACGAGACAAACAACCATTCACTCTCTCACTCACACCTAGGGACAATTTAGAGTCACCAATCAGCCTAACATGCATGTTTTTGGACTGTGGGAGGAAACCGGAGCACCCGGAGAAAACCCACGCATGCACGGAGAGAACATGCAAACTCCACCCAGAAAGGCCCCTGGACCGGGGTTTGAACCAGGGACCTGTTCGCTGAGAGGCAGCAGCTCTACCAGTTACGCCACCGTGCTGCCCTACATGTTGCCCTACAACTCCTACATGTGTCCAGTTAACCACTCTTTTTGTCTGTCCAAACAGGTCTCACTTGTAAATGAGTCTTTGAGGCTCAATGTGATTTATCTGTTTAAATAAAGGTTGAATGAATGAAAAAAAAAAAAAAGCAATAATGGGGCAAAATGTTTGGGTGCATTCACACCAGCCCTGTTTAGTCTCTTTAATCCAACTCCAGCTCGTTTTCCTAGAAAGTCCGGTTCGTTTAGGGAGGTGTGAACGCACCATCGAACTCTGTCACGGAACAAAAAGGTGAACTCTGGCCCGGGCTAAAACCTAGGTCTCGGTCCGGTAGAAGAGAACTCCAGTGGTTCCAGTACAGTGTGAATGTAAACAGACCGGACCCGCTCCACAGGACAAACAAACACACATTTCTCTCATATGGAGCCGTCAGCTGACTTGTGTGAAGAACAATATTCTCCATGGTCTTCTGTCTCATCTTCTGCTCATGCTGAGTCCATTGATGAAAAATGACTAAATATAACTCCTAAAACTGATAAAACTTGATGCCACTTCGTTTTTATTTTTATTTACACAAGAAGAAGAAGACGTGTCTTCAGGGGTTTTTGTGTCGTTTCTTTCAGTAGTTCTTGGTGCAGCGCCCCCACAGGTGAGCGGGGGAACAGGTTGGTTCAACAGGTTGCTTCAACAGGTTGACTCAACTGCACAGTGCAGTGTGAATGTAAACAGACCAGCTCAAATGTAACAAAAGGTCATGAATATTGGTCCAGAACCGAACCCAGTCTACCGGACTATCAGCTGTGAAAACAACCTTTGATCACTTTCCCCACTGTGAGGAGTTCTAGCAAGTTTATGGGCTGGCCACTTCCCCCCACCATTTGAAAACAGTTGTGAGACTGGCCTCCAGAGGAAGAACTGGTGGAAACTCCTTATCAGTGTCTCTCTACCTTCATGATGAGCACGTAGATGGAGACTGGTGCTCTCAGCTTCAGCGGGTCAACAGCTGATCCCGACAGATATAATGACACGGCTGGAAACCAAGGCGAGACTGGATCTTGGCAGCTTGAGTGCAGGGCAGCAAACCTTCCCACCAAGGTTGTTTTCACAGCTGATGGTCCGGTAGACTGGGTTCAGTTCGGGACCAATATTCATGACCTTTTGTTACATTTGAGCTGGTGCGTTTGCATTCACACTGCACTGTGCAGTCGAGCCAACCTGTTGAACCAACCTGTTGAAGCAACCTGTTGAAGCAACCAGTTGAACCAACCTGTTGAACCAACCTGTTGACCCAACCTGTTGAACCAACCTGTTGAACCAACCTGTTCCCCCGCTCGCCTGTGGGGGCGCTGCACCAAGAACTACTGAAAGAAACGACACAAAAACCTCTGAAGACACGTCTTCTTCTTCTTCTTCTTCTTCTTCTGGAAATAAAAACTAACACGGAGTGGCGTCAAATTTTATTGGTTTTAGGAGTTATATTTTGTCATTTTTCAACAATGGACTCAGCATGAGCAGAAGATGAGACAGAAGACCATGGAGAATATTGTTTTTCACACAAGACAGCTGACGGCTCCATATGAGCTAAGAGAAATGCGTGTTTGTTTGTCCTGCGCTGTACTCCACTTCCTGCTTGTGGAGCGGGGCCCGGTCTGATTACATTCACACTGTACTTGAACCACGCTCGAGTTTTCTTCTACCGGACCGAGACCTAAGTTTTTTGTTCCGTGACAGAGTTCGATGGCTCGTTCACATCTCCCTAAATGAACCGGACTTCCAAGGAAAACGGGCTACAGTTCGGGACAACAGGGCTGGTGTGAATGCAACCCAAGTCCTCTAGGAGCAAAGGAGCTGACGGTT